CGAAGCTATCCTCGCCCTCGACAAGCCTGCTCCTGCTGCCGCACCTGATACCGCTGCTGGGGGTGCTGGTGGTGGTGGTGGTGGTGGTGGTGATGGGGGTGCAGGTTCAGAGGGAGGGGCAGGGGGAGAGGGGTCGGATGCGGTGGGGCAGAGGAGTGGGAGTGGGCGGCTTCCGTCGGCAGCTTCTTTGGGTGGGATAGAGTATGAGGAGACCTTCTTCACTGACGCTCTGTTGAAGCGATACGGCAGGTGGGTGGTGCTATATGGTTTTCATTCCTGCTGAGACCTCTGCTTCTTGCTTCCTTTGAGTTGACTCAAAAGCGTCCTTTGGTGGAATAGAGCATGAGGAGACATTAACTGACGCTCTACTGAAACGATACGGCAGGTGGGTTGTGATGCATGGGATGTGTCCGTCTAGTGGGTCATGTGATATGGGGTATGTCAGGTGGGCCATGTAATTTGGGGTATGTCAGTTGGGTGTTGGAATGTGGGTATGTCAGGAGCGTCATGCTGTATGGCGAATTATAGGCGGGTCATGCTACATGGCGTATATTTGGATGCCCATGAACTTGCTGGCCAATGCAGTGCCTACCGAGCTGCACCTTGTTTCTTGCAATGTTGTCATTTTTTAGAATTCTCAAAAGTCACACCAACATGTGCTGCACCTTGTTTCTTGCAATGGTCTCAACGCACCACATCCCACTGTTGCTTCTTCCTTCCCAACCGTTGCCCCTCTGGCAGTGCGGGGGTGGACTGGCCGGCGTTTGACTGGATGCCAATGGACTGCCTGCCCACGCTTGTGCAGCTGGCACTCATGCTGCCGCCCAAGGAGGAGCGCCTGCGCGTCCGCATCTGCACGGTTGGTGGCCATGATTGTCATTATGTGTAGTTTCAGGGTTTTATGGGGGTCATGGAGGGGTGGTGGGGGCATGGAGGGGTGGTGGGGGGCATGGAGGGGTGGTGGGGGGCATGGAGGGGTGGTGGGGGGCATGGAGGGGTGGTGGGGGCATGGAGGGGTGGTGGGGGCATGGAGGGGTGGTGGGGGCATGGAGGGGTGGTGGGGGGCATGGAGGGGTGGTGGGGGCATGGAGGGGTGGTGGGGGGCATGGAGGGGTGGTGGGTGGCATGGAGGGGTGGTGGGGGGCATGGAGGGGTGGTGGGGGGCATGGAGGGGTGGCGGGGGGCATGGAGGGGTGGTGGGGGGCATGGAGGGTCAACGGGCTTTGTGTTCCTTGAGTCGGTAGAAGGCCGGTTTTCCCTGCTCCTTCTCTCTCCCGTTGCACACGTCTCCAAGTCCTTCCAACTTTATCCAACTCTCTCCCCTTCCCCCTCCTTCCCCTCCCCCTTATGACCCCTCCTTGCCGTGTCCAAGCAGCTGCTGCTGACAGTGAGCAAGCTATTCGGGCGGTTCTACCTCATGGCAGTGCTGCTGCCCGTCTTCCTCACTGCTGCCGGCCACTCCATCGACACCTCCCACCTCCCTCCCAAGATCGCCTCCTCCATTGAAGGTACGCTCGTCTCATCACATCTCTCATAAGTCAGTTCATCTCACTTCCTGGCCCAAATCGCCTCTCCCATTGGAGGTCCGTCTTCCTCCGACTTCTTTTTCCAGACACCCCCTTCGACCCTCACATCCTCCCCCATCCCCTGCTCCTTCCCATCCCCCGCATGCACAGTGCTGCGCCCAGCAGGCCCCCTCTGGAGCGCCTATCCCGCATGTGTGTGCTGCCATTGCTGCTGGCGGGCGTGCTGGGCTCGCCCAACATGCGCGAGGGCTATCTCTTCAAGTACTTGCGCGAGTGGGTCGTCTCCACCTGTGCGCGCTCCGGCGCCTGGTCCCCCGCCTCCACGCCAGAGCTCATTGACGCCGTGCGCTTCCTCTGGTACGCAACGCATGAAGTCGACTCAAACGTGTTCCTTTGATGCGTGCTATCCTTGCATTGCTCCCCTGCGGCTGATCATCCTGAATGCACACGCTTTTACTCAGTCAGGGGCTGAAGGCTTTTACTCCCACTATCTTTCACTTGTTCCTCCCTCCCTTCCCCCGTGACCCCATAGTCTATTGGTGAGCACAGGGAGACGCTGAGCAGGGTGGAGATGTGAGGCATCCCAGACCTCGTACCGCCCTCCCTCTTCCGCCCTCCTCCCTCCCTCCTCCGACACCCCCTCAGTCTGTTTGAGGAGCACAGGGAGACGTTGAGCAGTGTGGGGTGGGAGCTCGTGGTCAACCAGGCGCCAGCAGTGCGCATCACCGCTGCCGTCATCTTCCAGACCCTCGTGAGCTCACTAGCTTGCTCGCTTCCATTCTCGCTTGCTTGCTCGTTCGTTCCTCTCTTCCTGTTTTGTTCTCTTCCTCTCTTCCTCTTTTGTTCTTTCGCAATCCATATATCTCCCCACTTCCTCACCTCCCTTTTACCACCATCCCACACCTCTCACCACCACCGCAGGCACCATTCGTGGGCATGAAGCGAGTGAGCCAGCAGGTGCTGCTGGCTCTGATCACTTTTAAGTCAGACCCCGTGCCCTGTGCCCTCAGCCCATACCTTGTATGCCTCTCTTCCCCGTGCCCTGTGCAAGCTCCACTGCAGGCGCCCTTCGTGGATGTGAAGCGGGTGAGCCAGCAGATGCTACCGGCGCTGATCACGTTGGGATCAGACCCTGTGCCCCGTGCACTCGAATCGACCCATGCCTTGTCCCACCACCTCTCACCTCTCTGCACCCTTCACAGGCGCCCTTTGTGGACATGAAGCGGGTGAGCCAGCAGGTGCTGCCGGCGCTGATAACGTTGGGGTCAGACCCCGTGCCCGAGGTCAAGCACTCCACCATCGCTGCCCTGGGCTCCGTGGCGCAGCAGTTCAAAGATGCTCCGGTGAGTGGCATTTGCAGGTGGAGAGAGGTGAAGAGAGGACAAGGTCCCTGTGCAGCTAGGCTCATTGACCTTGGAGTAGCTATGTGCATGCATCCATTTGTCCATGTGTGCACGTGTGCCTCCCAATACCCATCCCACCAGATAGTGGACAAGATCCGAGTGCAGCTGGACTCATTCCTGGAGGAGGGGTCGCACGAGGCGGTGGTGGCGGTGCTCAAGACGCTCACAGCCGCCGTGCCAGTGACCTCCACCACGCTGAGAGAGTACTCGCTGCAGAAGGTCGCCAGCATGGCCACTGGTCCTCTGCTTGCTACAGGCACTGCTGCCAAGCGCAGGGAGAAGGCTGAGGCGCTCTGCTCTGCTCTGCGGGCGCTAGAGCACACAGGTAGAGTGTGGGTCATGCGGTGAACGCATATTTTTTAGTCGACTCCAAAAATGCGGTGAACGCATGGATACTGCTAGGTCATGCGGTGAACGCATGGATACTGCTAGGTCATGCTGTGAGCACAGGTGTTCATTGAACACACTGGGACAGTGTTTACTCCTGCCCCCCACCCATCCAACCATCCATTCATTGTTCAAAATCTATGTTCATCCCTCTCTACCTCCCCCACCTATCCTCACCCTCTCTAACCTCGTGTGCTGCAGAGATGACTCCACAGCAGACCAATACGCTGTTCCTCCCAGCAGTGCAGGCGCTGCTGAAGGAGCCCGATCTCCTCTCCACCAGCAGCAGAGACGCCCTAGAGGCCATTCGCCGCGACCGCTGGGTCGGGAAAATCGAGGACCTGGGGAAATACGTTGGGAAGAATCTGTTCGGGTTTGAGACTTCTGGGCAGAATAAGAATCTGTTTGGTGGTGGTTTGCTTGGCTCGGCGTCTACTGCGAGCGGGTCGGCAAAGCCTGGAGCGGCTGGGGGTGGCGGGGCAGGTGGAGGGGGAGGGGCGACTGCTGCCAGTACGTTTAGTGGTGCATTCAGTGGGGCTTTTGGCCAAAAGCGGTAAGGCTTGTCAGACATGTGGTTGAGTCAGACAATATATGTGAAATTTTCTCATGAATTACTGCCTACGCAGTTTAGAGGTTGAATATGAGAAATTGCCAGTTGTGTTAGTCCTCTCTAACATGAAAGAAAACCATGATTGCACTCACATTTGATTTCGTATAGTTTGACGATAATCAACTCGCTTGCCCGAGTTTTCCGAAGCACACTCCATCCGGTGTAGTGAGTTCGCTTTCCCGAGCCGCTGCTGAAGAAATGCAGTCAAGTACCCTCTTCTCATTGGTCAAACTGGGCGCGTTGGTGTCAGAGATTCCTTACCCTGGCAGCCTAAACGCCAGAGAGCATTTGCGACACGGAACAGGTTTTATTTGGGATGGCAAGAACCACCCATTCTGGCGCCGGGCTGGACTGTATTGTACTGTACACCTCAATTCGGAGTTCCGGGCCACATCTCGCCGATTCCTGCCTTCAGCTCCCCAGCCATTCATTCACGGTCTGCCCGCCATGGAAGGAGCTGGTTGATTTGCAGTTTGCGAGACCGCGGCTTAGAATTTAGAGGTTCAGCACGGCGGAGTTTGAGCCAGAACGTTTTAGTGCGGTTGGTTCACCCGTTGCCAAGGCCCAGTCGTTGGGGAACGCTTGTCATAAAAGCCAACCACACCAGCTCGAGTCGGTGTAAGCTAGGGATCAACCTACCAGGCAAGGATGCACTAGGCACCTGAGACATGACTCTCTCGACGCAGCACAGCACCCTCAGTCATTTCCACTATTACAGAACATTTGCGATGTCCATCAGAGCTATTAGAAATCGCATTTCCAGCGGCCCTGCAAATGCAAGCGCTACTAGTTCAGGAGAGAGTTGCTATCTGTTTACTGGTTGCGATTGTTCGTATGGTTTGTGCATCCGTGGTGACGCTTAGCTCCCGCCATCGTTGCCATAACACGAGCGAGACTACAGCGAGGATCTCCCAGTAAGCACTGCTGGATGCGGCCAATTATCGCGGGGAGACTATCTTTCGCGCTCCCAACAATAGGCTAGCATTACAGCCGCAATTAAGGTTCACCCCCATAGTTTACTAACTCGGTCTTCAAAGTCGCCTAGAAGGATTCGCGTCTCTTCAGAAATCGCAAATGGGGAGTAATGAGGGTACGGAAGCCATGAATCAAGAGGCAAAGCTGACGGATCAAGAGCACGGAGCTAAAATTGAGCACCACTCTAAAACCGACCACCACCACTTTAAATCCAAGCTCTACTCGAGAGCTGAACAGCCGACGAGCGGCGGCAAGGCCCACATCGTGCCGTCCTTCCACTGGCACGTCGCGCTCCCAGCGCTCGTCGCGGCGACGATCCTCGCGTTCCTATTGGCCGATCCGCTCCGCCTAAGTCCCGTGGCGCACCTCCCGTTCGACCCGGTCGTCATCGACATCGCACCGCCGCCACCGCGTTCCGTCAGAGACCCTCTTAATCGGCTTGCCGATGCTGAAATTAGGTAGGACCATGGACACTCTCCTTGCCGCAACAGTATTATAATCGCTCTGCCTTTCTTCTGCCAGTCTGGCTGCACCTATCAATCTCCGTGACGTGGCAGGTACGACGGCGAGGCGCTCGGCCCCGAGTGTTTTGCGTGGGACGTGGATGGCAGGGGGTCCGCACGCAATGCAATTTTATCGCCCCCAAAACTCGTTAATTTGACACGAAACTCATCGTTCTCCGTCGCACGGCAGGTTCGAAAGCGAGGGGTTCGGGCCCGAGAGCCTTGCATGGGATCGGGATGGCAGTTGGCTGCACGCAGTGCCTTTAACGAGACTCAAAACCTATCGTTCTTCGTCACGTGGCAGGTTCGAGGGCGAGGCGTTCGGGCCCGAGAGCCTTGCGTGGGATCTGGACGGCAGAGGGCCGTACGCGGGCGTGGGCGACGGGCGAGTCGTGCGCCGCACAGCCGACGGCCGCGCGTGGGAGACGTTTGCGTGGGCGTCGCCGATGCGGTGAGCGCTGACGCTGACGCTGTTGGGATGACCCATCCGCGCCCTACAGATGCCCGTTTGCTTTCCGTGGTACCTCTATTCTGCCTTCCACTACCTCTATTCTGCCTCTCCACTACCTCTATTCCGTCGTATCCCTATCCCCACCTTGCTCATTGCCCCAACTCCCCCTTCGCTCTTTTCCCCCCACCACACCTCCAACCTTTCCGCGCCAGGACGTCTAAGCTGCTCCCATTCTGAGATACCTCTGTTCTTCCCCTTCACTCCCGTTTCACGCCTCGCTCCTCCCCCCCCCCCACCCCTGCACCTCTATTCTATCTGCGCCAGGACGCCCGAGCTCTGTGACACACACGCCCCTCGGCGCTTCAGTGGCGCTGCCACGTCACAGGAGCTCGGACCAATGGAGAGGAGGCACGCGGCGGCAGCAGCAGCGACGCTGCCAGCTTCAGAGAGAGTGGCAACCGCGTTCGGCGTGTTCCCTAGCGACGTGTCTCTCGTGCAGCCCCGCGCCCGAGCCTCCGTTCAAGGCTCGGTGCCTGGCTCGGTACAAGGCTCGTTGGAAGGTCCTGCGGGGAACCTCTCTTCCTCGATTGCAGCTTCCGAAGCACCTCTGAGTGTCGCTGGTTCACATGCAGCACCGGCTGTCGAAACTGAGCATTCCCACCAGTCTCAACAATCACAACAACCCCACATAACTCAGCAGCCACAGAAATCCCAGCAACCCGTTCCGGCCCAGCACTTTCCGCCTACCCAGCAATCCCAGCAGGCCCATCCCAATCCGGCCACGGAGCACATATGCGGGCGGCCGCTGGGGCTGCGGTTCCACCCGGTGACGGGGGAGCTGTATTTCGCGGATGCCTACTTTGGCGTGTTCAAGGTGGGGCGGCAGGGCGGGCTGGCGCAGCCTGTGGTGACGCGCGTGGACGGCCGCCCGCTGCTGTTCGCCAACGACCTTGATATTGCCGCCAGCGACGAGAATGGCACCCTCTATTTCACCGACACCAGCACGCGCTTCCACCGCCGGTGAGTCACTGAGAGGGGGGGGGGATTGGTGTTGGTGGGAGGGAAGTAGGGTGAGCAGCGCCTGTGCGCGTAAAGGAAGGGTTGATTGGGTGAGGGGGGTATGGGACACCAGCACAGTTGAAAGGCAGAGACCTCTCTCTGCCTTTCAACTGTGAAGGGTTGAAAGGCCTCTGTCCGCCCTTCCCTTTTAATGGGTTGATTGGGTGAGGGGGGTATGGGGCACCAGCACAGTTGAAAGGGGGGGGGGGGGGGTCCGAGAAGGGCGGGTGATTGGGTAAAAGGGAAGTGCGGCAACCGTGCTCGCTTTCCAGCGCCGGTAAGGCAAGGGAGGGAGGATTGAGGTTGCACGGCCTCCGGCGCTTGTGAGGCAAGGTTGTGAGGCAAGGTTGTGAGGCAAGGTTGTGAAGCAAGGGACCGGATTTCAGCTTGGCGATAAGAGAGGGCAGGTAAAACGGACTGCTTTTGCAGTTGGAGCTCCCCCTCCTATCCCTTCCCATCCCATCCCATCCCATCCCTTCCCATCCCATCCCATCCCATCCCATCCCATCCCATCCCATCCCATCCCATCCCATCCCATCCCATCCCATCCCATCCCATCCCATCCCGTCCCTTCCCATCCCATCCCATCCCATCCCTTCCCATCCCATCCCATCCCTTCCCATCCCATCCCATCCCATCCCTTCCCTTCCCATCCCATCCCATCCCATCCCATCCCATCCCATCCCATCCCATCCCATCCCATCCCATCCCATCCCATCCCATCCCATCCCATCCCATCCCATCCCATCCCATCCCATCCCATCCCATCCCATCCCATCCCATCCCATCCCATCCCATCCCATCCCATCCCATCCCATCCCATCCCATCCCATCCCATCCCATCCCATCCCATCCCATCCCATCCCATCCCTTCCCATCCCATCCCATCCCTTCCCATCCCGTCCCATCCCGTCCCATCCCATCCCATCCCATCCCATCCCTTCCCATCCCATCCCATCCCATCCCATCCCATCCCATCCCATCCCATCCCATCCCATCCCATCCCATCCCGTCCCATCCCATCCCATCCCATCCCTTCCCATCCCATCCCGTCCCTTCCCATCCCATCCCATCCCATCCCTTCCCGTCCCATCCCTTCCCATCCCATCCCATCCCTTCCCATCCCATCCCATCCCATCCCTTCCCATCCCATCCCATCCCATCCCATCCCATCCCATCCCATCCCATCCCTTCCCATCCCATCCCTTCCCATCCCGTCCCATCCCTTCCCATCCCATCCCATCCCATCCCTTCCCATCCCATCCCATCCCATCCCATCCCATCCCATCCCATCCCATCCCATCCCATCCCATCCCATCCCATCCCATCCCATCCCGTCCCGTCCCGTCCCATCCCATCCCATCCCATCCCTTCCCATCCCATCCCGTCCCTTCCCATCCCATCCCATCCCTTCCCGTCCCATCCCTTCCCATCCCATCCCATCCCTTCCCATCCCATCCCATCCCATCCCTTCCCATCCCATCCCATCCCATCCCATCCCATCCCATCCCATCCCATCCCATCCCATCCCATCCCATCCCATCCCATCCCATCCCATCCCATCCCATCCCATCCCGTCCCATCCCATCCCATCCCATCCCATCCCATCCCATCCCATCCCATCCCATCCCATCCCATCCCATCCCATCCCATCCGACTCCTTTTCCTGCCTCCACCGCGCCAGGGACTACTATGTGGCGATAGTGGAGGGGCGGGCAGATGGGCGGCTGGTGCAGGTGGACCTGGCGACGGGCCGGGCGGCGGTGCTGGTGGACGGCCTTGCATTCGCCAACGGTGTTGCGCTCTCCAGAGACAAGTCCTTCCTCGTGTTCTGCGAAACCACCTCTCTGAGGTGAGAGTCCAGACCTCACCTTAGCTCATGACTATGCCATGTAGCAACACTATACACGTGGTTGCACAGAGGACTTTCCATTGCTATGTTCTTACTTCTGATGTATTTGTAACTCACAGGCATTGCTTCTATTTAAATTATCCCCTCCTAGGTGCCATCGATACTGGCTGAGAGGTCATAAGGCAGGGACACATGAAGTTTTTGTTGAGCTGCCTGGCATGCCCGACAATGTTCGCCGGAATCCTCGCGGCCGGTTCTGGATAGCCGTCCATTCGCGAAGAAAGCTCCTGCTGGGTGGGTGATGGTGTGATCATGTGGTGCAAAGATTGTGTGGTGTGGTGATCATGTAGTGCTGTGATCGTATGGTTCTATCAGTGGTGGCTTGAATGGGCAGTCATGGTGATGAGTGATGCTGTGAGCTTGTCTTAGGGCGGGTCCAGCGCGTACATTCACACTTAGCTTACAGTTCATCCGTCGTGGTTTGAAACGATATCAGACGGTGCACAGCGATTTTCATCTTTCACCGTTTTGCACCGTGCCGCAAGACGATTAACTGCACAGAATGAACTGTAAACCAGCTGAAAACGTGCGCGCTGGACCCGCCCTTTTTGAGCACTTAAGGCATGCTTTTCCCTGTGTTTCTCTTATGTGTGCCTATTTGCGAGAGCAATTTGTTGTACATGATTGATACATTTGTTTCTTCCGTTGTGCTTGTACCCCCCTCTACCTTGACAGACATGGTAGCTCGTAGGCCTTGGCTGCGGTCCCTCTTCCTCTCTCTGCCAATCAGCATCAGTACAGCACACCGTCTATCCGTGGGTCGACCTAATGGGATCATCGTAGAGGTGGATGAAAATGGCATCATAACAGACGTGCTCGAGGACAGGTTGGGAAATGCTGTCAGGTCTGTGAGTGAAGTGGAAGAGAGAGACGGAAAGCTGTGGTTGGGTTCCGTGGTGATGGCTCATGTTGGCATGCTCGATTATCAACGTCCAACATGGGACAATTTCCCCAAGGCATTTCAGCTATAGCATGTTATGTTTTATATTCGTTTGTCTCAATAATGTTTAAAGAATGGTGTACCGCTTGTTGTCTAGAAAGCTGCCCAGTCAAACTTTTGTAATACCTTCACGAGGCGCAACGGCACATGGCGACAGTTGATGCATCGAGCCATGCGAAGCCTAATTGCTGTCGCAAAGCCCGAACGACGACGTGCGACAGGCAGCCCTCCTGTTGTCAGAATGATTTGAGTTGCCCTGACACTCCGTCACACGCCTTACGCATACACAAGTTAGCTTCCCCCGCCAGCGACACTGTTTTGACCTGGTGGAATTGTTTGTGAGGAAAAATCCTCACCCAGTCATCGCAGGAAGTTTCGCCAGCCACTTGCTTAGCCTACGCCCGACGATTGGAGATTTTGTGCACCAACCGACCAGGTGCGATTGGGGGGGGACGTGTTTGCGAACGAGCCGCATCCAGCTTTCAACACACTGCTCCGCGCCTCAAGAAGAGAGCGATGTGTTTCTGAGTCGCACTGCACGTCAGCATCCGCAATGACGGCGATCCGCGCTGCTTCCTTCCCTCAACTAAATTTACATCTACAGCTGAAATCTCGACCAACCTACCACTCCCGACATCATCGCTAGCCCCCCTCTGTCTCAAATTCTCCCAGCCAGTTCTTGTCGTTCACCGTCGCATCTCCCTGATTCACGCAGTCCTGCGAACTTGTCCGGAAAATCAATCGCGTTTGTCTGTCAGCATCGCAATCGGTCTCGTCGTCGCTCAGCCTTCGGAAGCCCTAGCCCATCTAGGTACCGTCGCACGCCCTGTCAGCTCAGCGATCAGTGAACTATGGTCGCAGCCGCAATGGCCGCCACAGCAGCGGCTGTCCAGCAACAGTCTCCTTTTCGCGTTTCCATCTTCTCTCTCGCATTCACCTTTTTCGTCTTCCTCGTCACAGACCCGCTTCGACTTCGACCTATAGCCTATCTCCCCTTCCAGGCAGCACCTATTCCCTTATCACCGCGTCGACTACCGATACCTTCAGACCAAGAAAATCGTCTCGCCAATGCTCATATCAGGTGCCTTTCCTCGTTCCGGTGCAAGCCTTGCCTTTTCCGTCGCGCATCTGCCCATCACTGCCACGCGTGTCTAATGCCGTTAGCAACGTCGCTTGTGTAATTCGGATCGGTAGGCTGTTGTTCAGGTTGTCTCTTCTTTGCCATCTGCGACGTTGCTGCGCAGATACGCGGGCGAGGTGTTCGGCCCGGAAAGCCTTGCGTGGGATCATGAGGGACGAGGGCCGTACGCCGGTGTCAGCGACGGGCGAATCGTTCGACGATCTCTGCATGACAATGGATGGGAAACGTTCGCATACGCGTCGCCGCACTGGTAAGCGCTTGCATTTCGGTCTTTTCCAGTAGAACGTCGCACATCTCACTCTCTCCCCACTTGGCTTACGCTGTGCTTTCTCTGTTCCTTGTTCAGTTGAGCCAAGCATTTTGCATCACGTCACGGCCCCTTGCCTTATCGTGAAACTGATGTTTAGCCTACATAATCCCTCTTCCGCAGGTCGTCCGAACTGTGCGATCCCGTCGCACGAGTGCAACCCTCCCCATTCGCCTCCGCCGTCGCATTTCTATCTGGAGCCGTCGATTCGTCTGCCGACGCGTCCAACATCCACACCCATCCGTCGCTCAACGGCTCGCTTAACCATGCGAACTATAGTGTAGGCCCCATCAGCGGGCTTTTCCAGGAACTCGATAGTAGATCGGTTGGATCCAGCAGTATTGCCTCCGTCCCCGCTATAGGCAGTGCGGTTAAGGGGCGAGTCGGGCCGAAGCTGGCCACGGAGCACATCTGTGGCCGTCCGTTGGGGTTACGGTTTCATCCGGTAACTGGCGAGCTTTTCTTTGCTGACGCTTATTTCGGCATTTTCAAGGTGGGGAAGAAGGGCGGGAAAGCTCGAGTGGTCGTGGATCGCGTGGAGGGTCGAAAGCTACGATTTGCGAATGACGTGGCTATTGACGCGGATAACGAAAACGGCACAGTGTACTTCACTGATTCGAGCACACGTCACCAACGACGAGACTTCGTCGTGGCTACCACAGAAGGCCAAGCTGACGGTCGCCTGATGAAAGTGGATCTAGCTACACGTCGGGTAACAGTGTTACTTCGAAATCTCGTCTTCCCCAACGGCCTTGCGCTTTCTGAGGACAAGTCGTTCCTTGTCTTCTGCGAAACAGTCCTTTTCAGGTAAGCTCACGGTGTTCGCTGTTAACTATGCTGTAGGGACCACAAGCATGGCATCGCATCGTGTTGTTTGCACAAAAGGGTGCATGCAAGCTTTCTCACTAAGTCTTTTTTCCATTCGATCTTGCAGGTGCAGCCGATATTGGTTGAAGGGACCCAAGGAGGGAACTCAGGAGTTGCTCGTTGACCTACCCGGCTCGCCAGACAACATCAGACTAAACCCGCGCGGGCGATTCTGGGTAGCCATGCACTCGCGGAGGCGCCCCCTTATTGGTAAGTATCGTGAATCCTGAGATGCCTGCACTTCTTGTTTGCCTTCAATCAATTATTAACGTATTCCTTGTGCGAAATCACCTTTGCAGATTACTTTGCCCCACGACCATGGCTGAGGAGTTTCGTCATGTCGCTTCCGGTTGACATCAAAATCATCTATGGCGTTATGATTGGGTGGCCACATGGCCTGGTGGTGGAGGTGGATGGTGATGGACGAATCACAGACGTTTTGGAGGATCACATGGGGCGCGCTGTCAAGGCTGTGAGTGAAGTGGAGGAGCGGAATGGCACACTCTGGATGGGATCGGTGATGACGCCACATGTTGCTGTGATGAAGTACCATCCAAGGGCGTAAACGAAGGGAGTTCGGCAATAAGACCACTAACACACTTCCTGCATCTTGGGCTCAAGCACAAGCAGGGATGTGGCTGTGGAAGCAGCGTGGAGCACAGGCAGGAGGCGCTATACTAATTCAGATGACGTTATACTAACATAGGAGCAGCACTTCGAGTTCGGCTTCACATTTACAAATGTGTACCTAACGGGGCTGGAATAATGGGGACTCGGAGATAGTCGTGCAGGATAGCATGTGTCGTGCAATGTATCTTACACCAAGCTAACTGAGCACTCAGTTAATTCCATGCATTGTTTCACCTGAAAGGCATCATAACTTGTTACATGTATGAAACATTATTCTGTTTGTTAAACGGCTACAAGTGAGCGCCCTGTAATGAGTTTCTTCCAATGTATAGCGCACTCTTGCACTAACCGTGTGATCCAATTGGACAAAGGAGCAACTTGTCCGTCAAACCTCCGTTTTAGGGGAATTAGTGGTCGCTGATAAATGGCACGTCAGCGCGCTGCACATTTTTCTGGGCGCGCAACGTCATCCATTACCATGTGGACCTCGTGAAATTGTCCACCGACGAAGTCCATCCAAAAAAGTCAGACCCACAACACTTTTCGTTCCTCGTTACCTCGCCCGCCTTTCGCAATCCAAGCGAGACACTAGGGTAACCCAAGAACCCACAACACTTGGCCTGCGATGTCGGTTGCACTCCCATTTTGCGGGATTCCTGGAGCCAAAATCTAGTCGACGCCAGCTCGCCAAGGCGCCACGTGAGAACCCGAGCGATGTCCAACGCAGACTGTAACAGAGGGCTTTGAACCAACCATTCCACACGAGCGTTGAACGTCTCTGTGTGGCGGGCTTCCCGGGCAGCTTCACCATAAGCCTGCCCGAAACCACCACCTCTGCTTCCTTCATCCAATCAGTCGTCGAATCAGCCACCTCGGGCCCCTCCGAAGCAGTCCCCTGCCGCTGCCCACCCCCTCCAACCTCCTCCCTCCAAACGTCCCCACTCATGCAGGGCAAATTCCATTCCGAACCAGTTGATACCGACATGAACCGAAGCGATTCTGGAAAACGAACAGGTTGCTGGGTGTTGGGTTCGTCTTACTTCATAACAACACCAGTAGTCATTATGAAGGTTATCCGTGATCCCTCTCTTTGTGATCCAGGAAGCGGAGTTTACTAGCATCTGATACAGCTCTGGGATTGTAGCTGCCATTTGTAGAACTCTGCGATGGCGGCCTCAGTCTCCCTCTCGATGGCGTCTCGCTCGGCCTTCGTTGCCAAGGTGTGTGAATTGTGCATAGTCATCTGCTAGTTTTGATCAACGAGCCAGTTGGTTCTAACCAGCTCCTCAAATCCACGTGCTCCTTGTCTCCCTGGTGCAGGCCAATGACGCTCTCAAGCTGGGAAGCCCAGGTCAGTAGAGTTTGACGCTGTTGTTATCCACTTCCTCGCTACGACAAGCAACTCTCAAATCTTCTCGGCCTTATGCTGACAGCTGCTTTGGTTGGTTGTTGCAGTTGCTGCGCAGAGCACTCCTTTCCTGCCTCTCCGATCTCGCACCCACAACCTGGTACTATTCCTCTCTGGTATCCCCTCAAATATGTTTTACCCTTGCGCGAATGGACATGGTACCATCGGTTGTTAGGCTCGAGCTTAATCGTCTCATCCATTTACTTGTGATGCAGAGGAAGCCTTCCCTCGGCTTGAAGTCTCAGGCATGCCGGCTAGTGAAGACATCAGCCGCGGTCGCCGCTCCTGTCTCCAACCCCCTCTCCGATCCTCAAGAGAGGGAGAGATTGGCGGAAGAGTATGGCTTCCGACAAATCGGCGAGCCCATGCCTGACGATATCACGCTGAAGCAAGTCATCGATTCAATCCCGGCCGAGGTAAACTTTATTTTGAAACCGTCGTGAATAAGAGAATGCTTTCGGTCATAACCTTTCGCTGTGCTTGATCGTCCTCGACGTCTCAAGTTCTTTATGCTATTAAAACGTACCTGATTGACGATCCTTGCGTGATTGTGTCGGCAGGCGTTCGAGATCAACGAGTGGAAGGCATGGAAGACCGTCTTCCTATCAATTGCCGCGATGGCCCTGGGAGAGGTTTTCATCTACTACTCGCCATGGTACCTTCTACCCCTTGCATGGGCCTGGGCCGGCACTGCCTTCACCGGGGTAAGTGCCAAGTGGTGGCTACCTTACCCTCTCATTTTGATTGAAGTGCTTCCCCGACTCCGTGTTGCTTTCACGTCTTTGTACCAGGTTTCATCGCGCTAAATTGTTGTTCGTTTTCACGATTTCAGTTCTTCGTTGTGGGCCATGACTGCGCGCACAAGTCCTTTTCGAAGAACAAGCTGCTGGAGGACATCGTGGGGACCGTCATGATGGCGCCGCTCATCTACCCGTACGAGCCCTGGAGATTTAAGCACGACCGCCACCACGCCAAGACCAACATGTAAGCGATTGTTTACGTGTTACAGGAGTTAATCTTTGGGATAAACGAAAAGTCTCCTTTGACCACGCTCCACGGCAGTCTTTCGTTTTCTCTCTCTGCTGATACAGAATTCTTTACATGATCCCCATATTTCTCTAAATCGAGCGTTATTCATCCATGCGCGTTTGGATGGTGTTTCTTCTGTTCAGGCTGGTTGAGGACACGGCGTGGCATCCCATGATTCCGGGCATGTACAAGCGGATGAGCCCCACTGCCCGTGTGCTCATGCAGACCTTCATGGGCCCCTTCCGATTCCTTGCGTCCATCGGTCACTGGTACGCGCGGAGCATGCACGATGATAGGGATTTGAACAATGGATGTGGCAGAAACCTGTTAACAGATTCTGAAGCAGTTGAATGGAGAACCTACGTCCAAGCTACGTCAGGCATTTGCTTTCTTCTGTATCGAACATAGAATAACACATGAAAAGGGCTTACATGAAAAGCTAAGTCGCGGATGGGAAACGATATCTATTGTTGTGGTGGCTAATGTGCAGGTTGGTGTACCACTTCGACCTCGAGAAGTTCCGGCCGAGCGAGTTGCCACGTGTCAAGGTGTCGCTCGCTGCTGTCGGAGCCTTTGCGGTGATTGGCTTTCCTCTTATCATTGCTAACTTTGGCATCGATGGCTGGTTCAAGATGTGGCTCATGCCGTGGCTCGGCTTCCACTTCTGGGTGAGTCCTAACTCTTGCTATTTGGACAGGAAGTTTCATGTTGGACTGTTTTTATGTTTAACCCAGTTACAGTTGTTGTCATGTGTCATCCAGTTACTTACTCTGGTATGCTTCTTCTGCGTGGTGTGTGGCTGTGCAGATGAGTACCTTCACCATGGTGCACCACACTGCTCCTCACATCCCCTTCAAGAAGCAATCCGAGTGGAACGCCGCTCAGGCTCAACTCGGCGGTACTGTGCACTGCGACTACCCGTCCTGGTATGTGAAATGGACGAATCCATTAGAAATATACTGGGGAATTTTATGCTTGGAGTATGCCAGTTTGTGAAGGAGTACATGATTATGCAAATGTGAAGAAGCGTCTCTCTTGGGTGGTCTGCATGCTCATGCTCGTCTCCATTCCCGTTCTCCCCCTGGTCTGGTTTGCAGGATTGAGATTCTGTGCCACGACATCAACGTGCACATCCCTCACCACGTGTCCCAGAAGATCCCCTCCTACAACCTGCGGCTGGCCAATGATGCCCTGAGGAAGCACTGGGGCAAGGTGAGCTTAACATCCCTAATTGATTTTTTTTGCCTTAGTGTTGTTTTAAGTGTGAGTCTGTCAGGCGTCCTGCTCATGCATCTGAGGAGCTCTTCCGGATTGCGCAGTGGTATGCATCATGATTGCTCTTGTGCTGAATCCAGCTGTTCACCCTCCCAATCTAAGTCATCATTCTCTTCCACACCTTCCCTGTGTGCAGTACATGAATGAGGCAACATGGAACTGGAGGCTGATGAAGAACATCTTTGTGGAGTGCCATGTATTCGACAAGGAGAAGAACTACATTCCCTTCGATGCTCTTGAGAAAAGCGAGTCTCCAATTCTTGCCGCAACAAGGAAAATCATGCCCAACACCTACACCAAGGGGCAGTGAAAGTACTTGTGGGGAGGGATAGGGTAGGAATTTCCCACGTGAAGGCAGAAGTACAGTGCGCTGACTGCTGCGCTAACGATAAAAGCATGCGGGGAGTATCTTTGCATTTTTTGTTAATGTAATCCAAAAATATATTTTTACACTATTCCAGCAAGTTGTGTAAAGAAAGAAAGGTATTGATTGTTCCATTCAAAGAGATTATCGTACAATCTCTGATGCATTTGCCATTCCATGATAACTACTGAAAAGCGATTTAAGCGGATCTCCTGTAGAGTGTGTAATGTCGCCCTTCAACTGGTGTATGGATTTTCTGTTAAATTGTAATGTGTTACATGTTGGTAGGCTGTAGTGGGGTAGCCAATATGGGGTACAACCCCAACTAGGGTTTGCTACTTGTACCCAACTGTTTCATTCAATGCACCATTCTTGCCTAGTCTTGTTGACATGGTATTCAGAGCAGGAGGTCCCTAGTGTTAAACTGTTATATGTTGGTAGGCTGTAGTGGGGTAGCCAGTATGGGGTACAACCCCAACTAGGGTTAGCTACTTGTACCCAACTGTTTCATTCAATGCACCATTCTCACGCTAGTATTCTGATATGGTATTCAGAGCAGGTGGTCCCTAGGACCATCCGATCGTTTTTTTTTAGGGCCCACCACCGCACGCTGCGGTTACCGCGTTACCCCCGCGCCCTACCCTCGTAGCGCCCTCGTTGCGCTCTAGCGCCCTCGTAGCGCCCTTTGTAGCGCCCTCGTGCGCCCTGCCGACCGGCGTCCTGCCAGCCCAGAGCCCCGCGCGCCTCCCCTGCTTTGCCCGTCGCGCCGCCCGCTCTGCCCCGCGCTGCCCGTCGCGCTGCCTCGCAGCCCCGCGCACCGCCCGCTGTGCCCCGAGCCGCCCGTCGATCTGCTGCGCAGCCCCGCGACCCCCCCGCCCTGCCCCGCGCTGCTCGTCGCTCGGCTCTGCAGCCCCGCGCGCCGCCCGCTCTGCCCCGCGCAGCCCGTCGAGCTGCCTTGCAGCCCCGCGCGCCGCCCGCTTTGCCCCACGCCGTCCGTCGCGCTGCCCGCCCGCCCGCCGTGCTGCCCGCTTGCGGAGTCGCCCGCCTGTCGCGCTGCCCGCCTGCAGCGCCGCCTGCCTGCCGCGCTGCCCACTGTCAGAATCACTAGGCAAGAATGGTGCATTGAATGGAAGAATTGGGTACAAGTAGCAAACCCTAGTTGGGGTTGTACCCCATATTGGCTACCCCACTACAGCCTACCAACATAATACAGTTTAACACACCCCCATAGGCAAAGTGGGGGAGAACAAAGGGTCACAAGACCAGTCCAGCAAAGCAAAGCAAAGCCCAGGGTGGATCACAACGTCACCACACTCCGAGCACAAACAAAGGCCACAAGGCCAGTTCACATGCAGTGCTAGATATAGAACAGGACAAGCAGCAAGATATATATAAAGTACAGTACAAAGAAAGTCAAGCAGTAAGCAAATGAGGAAACGTGGACACAAGGCCTAAAGAAGTACAGTGCCGCTGATGATCACTAGGCGGGAGCGCCTTGGTGAAGATATCAGCAGTATTGGCCTTCGAGTCCACGTACACAAGCCGAAGCTGACCGCGCTGCTGAAGCTCTCGAGCAAGAAAGTAGCGAAGAGCAATGTGCTTCGTCCTGTGCTCCAGTCTGTGCTCCTGACACAAGGCAAGGGCCGCCTTGTTGTCACCGTACAGAACTGGAGGAGAACTAGGCCGCTCTCCTAAGTCAGTCAGCAGGTAGGTGAGCCAGCGTAACTCCTGTGCAGCCATGGCTGTGGCGTAGATCCCAGCCTCACAACTAGAGCCGAGAACAGAAGAAGAGCGGGTGGACCGCCACGAGACAGAACCAGAGCCAAGGCTGAAGGTGTAACCCTGTGACGACCGCTGCGTAGCCAGGTCGTCCACCCAAGAAGCGTCCGAGTGACCAGTGAGGACAACTCTGTCGCGTCCTCCAAGCACCAGCCCCATGCCTGATGTACTGCACAAGTAACGCAGCACCCTCTTAGCAGCCTCCCAGTGCTCTCGCCTGTGTCTCCCAGGCGCAACGTAACGAGCAAGGATGCTAAGTGGGTACGCGAGGTCAGGTCGCGTGCAAGTCATCAGGTACATGAGGCAGCCTACAAGCTCTGGGTACGGGCCACTCGGCTCTACGGACTCGTCCGAAGGTGGAGCTGAGAGCGAGTGGCTGGTAGCCAGAGGTGTGGCCTGTGGTGAGGAGAACTGGAAGCCGAAGCGCTGAAGGACCTGCTGCACCATGTGTGACTGAGTCAGGGTGATGGTGCGGCGAGCTCTGTCCCGGGTGATCTGCAAGCCAAGGTAGCTACGCAGTTCACCCAGGTCAATGCAGGTGTGTCTCTTCTGCAGCTCCGACTTCACACGAGCGAGTGCCTCAGTGTCAGCAGTAGCAAAGACCAAGTCGTCGACGTACACGAGAATGTAGAACGGCGGTAGCGACGTGTCTGTGCGTAGAAACAGCGACGGGTCAGCAGTAGACGGCGCGAACCCAAGAGCTGCAAGTGTAGTCCTCAGTGTGTCGTGCCACTCACGTGGCGCCTGGCGGAGACCGTAGACTGGCCGGCGGAGGCTCCACTGGGTACCAGGAGGAAACGACCCAGTAAAGCCAGGTGGGCGGCGCAGCCAGATCTCCTCGTGCAGGCTGCCCTGCAGGAACGCTGTGCTGAAGTCAAGAGAGTGAAGCTCGTAGTCACGCTGAGCAGCAACGTGTAGCAGAACCCGAAGAGTGGTCATCTTCGGGGTGGGGGAGAAGGTCTGGAAGAAGTCAAATCCTTGTCGCTGACTGAAGCCTCTAGCAACGTAACGAGCCTTGAAGACAGGTGGAGAACCCGGCGACCGCTTCACCCTGAAAATCCACATGCCATCGACGATGTTCGCCCCAGGAGGGGGAACCTCGTCGACGTAGGTGCCTGTGGACTTCCAGGATGCCATCTCTGCGTCCATGGCTGTCTGCCACTGAGAGGAGTAGGGACCCGAGATCGCCTCTGCGTAAGAGCGCGGAGTGGGGATGTCTAGTGCATCCGGGTCTCCCTTAGGGGCAAGCAACCAGGCCACGAGATGAGGTACAGCAGCCGCAAGAGAGTCAAAGTCCTCCTGCCTGTCCTCAAGGACGTCCGTGCCAAGAGCACACTCACCCCCGACGGACGGAGGACAGACAGACTCAGACCCGGCAACAAGACTGGCGGCGTAGTCTAGACGACAGGCAGCAGCAAAGTCGACAAGCTCAGCGACCAGGGCAGACGCAGCAGCAGACTCAAACGACGGGTCAGTGACAACAGTGGCGAGAAGACGCGTAACAGTAGGGTGGGCAGCACGAACACTGTCAGACTCAGGGTCGGGAACGTCAGGAAGAGAAGACGCAGGAGGAGACGGTAGGGGGACACGCTGTGGACCAGTGGAAGGACGAAGGGCCATAATATGCGTGCCAGGAACAGGAGGAGGACGCGGACGCGCGACACGACGACCAGTGGGACCAGTGCGCGCAGTGCGAGCAGCGCGAGCAGCGCGAACAGGCGAGGCAGGACGAGACGCAGGCTCACGACGCTCCGTAAGCGAGTCCGGCTGTGCAGTGTAAGGCACAGGAGCAGGGAGGGGGGAGCCAGGCTGAAGGGGAAGGCCAGTGGAAGACGGGAGGGAAAGAACCTGGCGAAGCACCGTGTCAGGCGGCGGCAAAGCCGACGGCGACGGAGGAGCGAAGAACAGGCGCGACGGCGGAGCTCCGCCAGCACCTCCAGCACCCGGAGCACCAGAAGCACCTGGACCAGCACCCTCCGCCGCAGCACCCCCCGAGTCGGCGACGTCAGCACCAGAGGCCCCAGCAGCGTCAGACCTCCCCTCGCCAGCACCTCCAGAACCAGCAGGACCACCGTGTCCAGAACCGTCAGCTCCAGTGTCGTCAGCTCCAGCAGCTCCAGTACCGTCAGGAAGAGCACCCCCAGACGCAGCACCCCCAGGCTCAGTACCCTCAGGCGCAGTACCCCCAGGCTCAGCACCCCCAGACTCCGTACACGCAGGCTCAGCACCCCCAGTCGTAGCACCCCCAGGCTCAGCACCCCCAGGCGCCGAACTCCCAGGCACAGTACCCTCAGCTCCAGCACCCGCAGTCCCAGCACTCCCAGGCCCAGCACCCGCAGGCTCAGCACCCCCAGGCTCAGCACTCCCAGCAGCACCACCTGCAGCAGCACCTGAGTCACCTGTGACCTCGACAGGCTCAGCGACGGGAGGAGGGTCTACCTGAGAGACACCTGAAGGAGCAGGACCCTGAGGGGGAAGGGGGTCTACCGGAGGGGGACCAGGAGCAAGGAACAGCGGCGGGGGAGGGAGGGGGGCAGTGCGGTAGGGGAAGAGACGGTAAAAAGGGACCGACTCGTCAAAGGTGACGTCCTGAGAGGCGAAGACCCGGCGCGAGGTGGGGTGGTAAAACTGCCAGCCCGGCGCGTCAGGGACAAAGCCAAGGAAGACACAGGGAAGTGTGTGGGAGGAGAGCTTGTCCGCGGACGTATCGCGGACAAGGGCACGAGCACCCCACACCCGGAAGCGCGACGCATCGCCAACCTCCCCCGTCCAACGCAGTGTGGGAGAGGTCTCCGGCAAGGAGACACGGGGCCAGAGGTTGAGCTGATGCGCGGCGTACCGGACAGCAAACGGCCACAGAAAATGGGGAGCCGCCGCGTGGACCAAGGAGGTACGAGCGACCTCCATGACCAGGCCAATGCGGCGCTCAGCAACCTCATTCTGCTGTGGGGAGTCCGGAAGCGTGAAGGTCTGCTCGATGCCCTCCGCCTGACAGAAGGTCCTCAAGAGATCGGAGGAAAACTCACCACCTCTGTCAGAGTGCAGACGCAGGACAGGAAGATCCGTCCGGAAACGGCGGCGGAGCTGGAGACGAACTGTGCGGATCCAAGGGATCAGAACAGCAGGGACCTCACCCTTGGTGCGCAAGGGGAAGACCGTGGCGTAAC